GGCTCAGTGGGTCAAGCCTCTGCCTTCGGCTCGGGTCATGATCTCAGGGTCCTAGGATCGAGTCCCACATCGGGCTCTCTGCTAGGCAGGGAGCCTGCTTCCTCCTCCTCCTCTCTCTCTGCCTACTTGTGATCTCTTTCTGTCAAATAAATAAAATCTTAAAAAAAAAATAAAAGTCTAGGGTGGACTGAGGAAAGACCTTGGGAAAACAGATGATCATTGGTACAAGATGATTTCAGTCAAATGGTGGCAGAAGAAATCTGATGGCAAAATGGTATACGATACTGAGTAGGTGAAAAGAGACTGTTAAGAGCAATAGCAAGTACTGAAGAAAAGGAGAGAAATTCAAAAGGGTAGCAAAGATGAGGAAAAAACTTTCACTCTAAGTAACTGTTGCAGCGGGAGTTTAAATAGAAGGGGAAATAATGAAGATGAAGAAAAGTAGATAAAATTCATGGTATAAAGTCTTAAAGAATCTTCAGAATAAGGAGAAAAAAGAAATAATAGGACACAAAAATACATTTTAATAAAGAAGAGGGAAGCGGGAGGGTTTAGGCAAGTGTCTTTGATTCTAGTTGCTTAAGAGCATGAAGAGAGAATGAACTGTGCTAATGAATCAAGAATGAGGTAAGTATTGGGAAAGGTGAATGCAACAGGATTGCTAAAGCAGTACTGTGCTAAAGGTGAATGAAGGGATCGCTAAGCAGTACTGTGAGCTCAGCTTCTACCACCTAGCAAATGCCTGCACCAAAAGCAACTGGGTTTTGTGAATTCTTCCACTTGTTAGACAGGATCAGGAGTTGAAAAATGTGGGTGATCTGAATGGGAGACCGGCAAGGCGAGTAGTTTCATTTTTCTGAGAAAACAACTCTATATGACAAGTGTATAGTGAAATTTCATCATTGATATTAGTATTTTAAGATGGCATAGTCAACTAGTATACGGCTCTCCTATTCTTCACTCCGGTGCTCTTTCCACTATACCACAAATTCTTCCAGAAAGCACATTTGATAAAGTAATGCTACACTTAGTGTGGCTGCTTAAAAAGGAAAACCTACAGCATCTCCTGGAATTCCTATTTAAAGTCAGCCTTGCCTTTCTTAAAAACATCATAGAAGCCAGAAAGCAATTTTGCCTCAGTAAAAGAACATGGTCTGCCTTAAGGATTATTATACATTGTTCTAGAACCCTGGGTTAAAGTAAGTCTTGTGAACTAGGAATGGATTTGGAACCTGTTATTTCGATTATTTTTTTAAAGTAGGCTCCATGCCCAGCATAGAACCCCATTTGAACATGGGGTTTGAACTCACGATCCTGAGATCAAGACCTAAGCTGAGACGAAGAGTTAGACTCTTAACCAAATGAGCCACCCAGGCACCCCTGTTATTTTGATTTGAAGTAAGGTGGGACAAAATGAAATCAGATGGAATCAATCCTCCACATAAGTGCTAAGTCTCAAAAAAGCCAAAGAAAACATTCCAAGTTACACTTGGGTCTTAGTTGAGCCTGGTCAGGGATGATCTTTGCAGTGCTGGCTGAATTATGAACAGCCTAAAAAGAGATGGAATCTGCAGGAATTTAAAAATGTCTCCAAGGCAAGGTTTGCACTGAGAGATAGGGAAGAAAGAAGCAATACTGCAGGACAGGTAGGCAAAGAAACCAGGAAGAACTGAGCTCCTGACCCCTACACCTGTTCTCAGCAAGGTAGCTCAGTTCTACAAGGACCTCATGATCCTCATTTCCCTCAGAGGCCAAGCATTCACAGCTTCTCTCTAAGCTCTAAGGATTTTTCTATTTGAAGATAGTAGTTTGCTGGGAAAAGAGACAGACAGAAGTACAAAGAGTCAGGTGGCAGATAAAAATCCTAGAAGGCTGAAGGATTTTTTTTTCTAAAGTATCTGTATATAGTTCTTATTATTAACTTGAGGACTGACTCAATATACCGTATCTTACAGATCTGCAGAGAATGATCTTTGCAGGAAATCTCTGTCACTTGAAGATGAAAAGGAATGTAAACCAACTCTGATCCCAGTTCAGACCTTTGCCAACTGATGGTTCAGGTGAAGGCCCTCTGGGAGGGCCAGAAAGCAGAGTATAGTATCTAATTGCAGAACAGTTCTCTAAAGGTACTAAGCCCTGAAACACAATATAGTAAATGGGAGAAAATATGGTATTAAAAGTAGGAGAACTGAAAATCTTACAGATATAAATAGATGAGAGTGATCTCACTACCTGGTGACAGCAGTAATTATTCTGAGTTTCAGAGAAGGTTTAGAATTTTATAAAGTATTTGATATGGTTTCTAAGTTCAGACAATTATTATAATATCCATTAGATACATGTTAACATAGATCTAGAAATGACAATGACTAGATGTAAGCATTCACTCACTCAAATATTTTTGAGGGCCTACTATAGAGGCCAGGTGTTAAGTATTAGATATTTGATGATGAGCAAAACAGTCCCTGAGCTCACAGAATTCTAAAACAGTGGAAGAGGGGCGCCTGGGTGGCTCAGTGGGTTAAAGCCTCTGCCTTCGGCTCAGGTCATGATCCCAGAGTTCTGGGATCGAGCCCCACATCAGGCTCTTTGCTTGGCGGGGAGCCTGCTTCCCTCTCTCTCTCTCTGCCTGCCTCTCTGCCTACTTGTGATCTCTGTCTGTCAAATAAATCAATAAAATCTTAAAAAAAAAAAAGGTGGGGGGCGCCTGGGTGGCTCAGTGGGTTAAGCCTCTGCCTTCGGCTCAGGTCATGGTCTCAGGGTCCTGGGATCGAGCCCCACATTGGGCTCTCTGCTCAGCAGAGGGCCTGCTTCCCTTCCTCTCTCTCTCTGCCTGCCTCTCTGCCTACTTGTGATCTCTGTCAAATAACTAAATAAAATCTTTAAAAAAAAAAAAAAAGAAGTGGAAGAGATAGATATTACGGGAAAAATATAATTATATAAAATTACAAAGTTTGATAACTACTGTGAAATAAGATGCAGGGTGCATGCAAAATGTGTAACAGGGAAACTTGGTAATAAGCTGCCAGGTACAACCACAGAGCTTTGCAGAGGAAATAATTTAAAATTTTTTTGTGTGTGTGCTAACATTGCCTTGGCAAGAAGGGAGAACAGGGATCCTGGGATTAAAAAAAACAAAGTAACCACTGTTCCCAAGAGAGTGAAAGGTTCAGCTTCACTTTCCTGCAAAGTTTTATCAGGTTCACACATATGAAAAACATCTTGCCCTTGGAGAAAAGTCACCATCATAAAGATGGATAGAATAAATAGGCAGGAAATTTATGTCTTCTATCTTCAATATATTGAGGTAACAGACCCCGAAGGTTGCTTGGTGTCACAGAGCTAAGGTCTGGACATGTTTGTCATTCCAACAGACATTGTGGCTGTTTAGACATTTGGCCATAGGCAGATGACATTTTTAAAACTAGAGATATAGCCACTTGTGATTTCCAGATTGTATACTGAATACACACATTGAGAGTCAACCTCTAGGATCAACTTCTGTCTCCACTGTCTCTGCATCCATTTTTAATACAATAGGTTTTTTTTTTTTTTTGGCATTATGGTTTTGGGCACATAATAAAACCTCATCAGCAATGTTATTCTGAAAGCTGAAGCTTTACTATACTGTTGTTTAACAATGAGAAAGCCAAAAACACAGAATTCTTAACCTATATCACCTCAATGCCTACTGCATGGTAGACTTTAAATAAATACCGAATCACAACAAAACATTCAGAGGAACAGACTTTGATTAGAATGACCACAATGAAACGCCTGAATTTCCATAGGCAAACTGACAAAATAGCTTATGATAATTAGAGATAATAAGCTGCGCTCCTCTGGGCCTCTGAACTCCAGAGGGGGGATGCCTTGAAAGTCTGGTTACTGATGCCAAGACCTGATGGGACCCTGAGGCCCAGCCTCTATAAACCACACATACTTTAACAAGAACTTGGATTCTTTATAAAAAGAATATATGTGCTAGGGCGCCTGGGTGGCTCAGTGGGTTAAGCCTCTGCCTTCGGCTCAAGTCATGATCTCAGGGTCCTAGGATCGAGTCCCGCATCCGGCTCTCTGCTTGGCGGGGAGCCTGCTTCTTCCTCTCTCTCTCTCTCTGCCTGCTTCTCTGCCTACTTATGATCTCGCTCTGTCAAATAAATAAATAAAATCTTAAAAAAAAAAAAAGAATATATGTGCTGAAATCAAATTGCCACAGATGGTACCAAGGGATTAGAAATACTTGGTTAACTCCCTTTATACCTCTAAATTTTAGGTTTATGAATTTCCAAAATAGAAGAAATTCTGTTCTCAGGGGCAAATGGAACATACAAGAAGTCTGGATGGTAGCCTCAGGCAGAAGCACCCAACAGTGAGCCAACTGCTTAGTGGATGCCTGAAAACAAGACCATGTAAACATCTCCCTGTTGCCTAGGACTATAAAATCAGTACTAAGTGACAGATGCATGAAGTGGCGTGGGTGGCTGGGCAATGAGGCAAGCAGTGGGAAGGAGCTGGCTGCACCTCCAGGTGTTAAAAAAGGCCAAAGTTGCATATTCAATGAGCCAACACTAAGTCAATTTAAGAGTGAATGTTTTCCATTTCCTTGACTCCCACAGCTGTCCTTTTATTACTTTATTCTCTTCAAGCCTGACCCAAAAGTTCATTTACCTACAAATTCTCCCATATAAAATGATACAGAGGAGTATGGAGAGTATATACCCAGTTGAATTACCTGGCTAACATTTATCAAATGACTGCTTAAATACAAGGGCCGATACTGTTGATTGATATGGAGGGTAGATATTAATTTTAAAAAGTGGCAATCTCAAGAAGCTGGACGATCTTACTAAGAAGTTTGCTGCAGTCATCTGGATAGGTATCATAAGCAGACTATGGCACTTGAGACTCCTAATAAATACTTGGTGTTATTTACAACAATAAGCCCGTGTCGGCGGAAGCAGGTTGAGAAGGGATGGGAAGTCCCACATAGCACTTACCATCTTCTGTTTCCTGCCACACAATGCCCTCGAGGTTGACACTTGTCCCAGGTTCACAGGGACCCAGGCACTCAGGCTCTGTAGCCAGAGCCACATCACATGTGTTGACCCCAACTGATCGGGTACGAACCATGATCTGCTCACAGGGGGATGAGATGTCATTACTGACCACTGGTACCAAAAGGTGCAGTGGCAGCACCGCTGGTGTAGAGACAGGAGACTCCATCTGTGAGGGAAGAAAAGCAGTAGCTGAGTTGCAGAGAGAACATTTAGAGGAAATACCTTCTCTATATTTAATCTAGTCCTACATTCTTTCCTGCCAGCGTAGAAGACTCTAAATATAAGATTTTGGTCCTTCCTTTCAAGTTCCAGCTTGTGATACCACTACAAATCTAGTCGTCTATATGAGTGCACCCTGTGGTAGGAGGAGTGTATTTCTTATTAATGATCTTCCTCATAAACTGTGCTTAGCTAAAAGTGTACTAAAAAAATCCTGTCTCATTTAAAAACCTCTAGTGATAGAGAACCAGGTCCAGATTTCAACAGTATTTAGAGCACATAGATTGATGAGAAAGAAAAGACTTCTGAGGCATGTTCTACTACCACCACTGTGTTTCCCACCAATCTATCATTTGACAAATAATACATTAATCAGGTATAAAATCCAAGAATACGGGAAGGGATAAAAAAGGGGAGAAAATATCCAGAGCCTAGAAATGTCACTTCAAGAAGACTAGAGCTTTAACTCATCTTTAATTAGAAGGACATCTACTTAAAAGTTATAGGAGGGCTAGGAGCAACCCGATGGGGGTTTCTAACCCTTAGAGATTACAACAGTGACTGGTTAATAAGAATAGCATTTTGGAGCATGAATCCAACATCAAATTAACTTTAAGGAACAGCAGGTGCTATTACTATCCAGAAGCCAATTCATGGCAGTCTGCAGATGAGTTGATTACACACACACAGACAGAAATAGGTGAACACAAGAACCAGCAACCTACCTCTAAAACTAGAACCTCTCACAAGAATGCAATCACTTAGAAACCAAAAATTCAACATATCCAGAATTAAAAGTTGTAATAAAGAAGGTAATAATCCCTTAACTCTTTAAATCCTAACATTTATCAGACTCATGAAAATACTCTGAGTCTACAGTGCCCAAATCCTAACTGAACAGTGTCCTGAACATGCAAAAGCACTCAGTTCACAAACTGACTAATCTTCCCTGAAGATTAAGTATGATACCAATCAAAAGACCTAGAAAATGAGAGTCAAGGATTGTGATTTTCTTCTCCTTGTGAAAGACTTTTTTAAAAAGATTTATTTATTTTGAGAGAGAGCAAGCACAAATGAGCGGGGGAGGTGCAGAGGGAAAATTTCTCAAGTAGATTCCCTGCCAAGCCCAGAGCCTACATGGGGCTCTGATGCAGGACTCCATCTCACAACCCCAAGAGCATGACCTAAGCAGAAACCAAGAGTCAGACACTCAACTGACTGAGACACTCAGTGCCCCACAAAAGATTTTTTAGTGCAGTTTGAATATACTCCTTCAATGGACCTACATTTAGAGAGCCACATATGCATTCATAATCCAAGCTGCTGGACAGTTCTGCAACAGAACTCTGGTTTTACTGAATGACCACTGCTGAACCTATATTGTACCTTCCTTTCTTAACACACACATTCACATATTCATACACACACACACACACACACACACACACACACACCCCTTCGTGGCCTAAGATACTACTCTAGAAGCTGAGATATGGGTATAGTCTCTACTACAGTCAGCTCTCACTTCTTGGCTTAGAAGTCACTGCTATTTGTGAATCATCACTGGGTCCACTGAATGCTAGAACACAGATTCTGATGAATTCTGGTCCCTGAGAGGCTGCCAAGACATTATCATTATCTGCTTGTTGTCATGCACCCACCTTCCCCCGACCCCCAACCCCATACTTCCCTAACTCCTCCTCTTTCATAAAAAGAAAATAAAGTCAAAGCCCGTATAATGAATTTTCTGCATTATGGTCAAGGCCAAAAGATATCTTTGCTTTCTCAGGATGTGCCAGATCCCCGAAAGACCTGTAAAATTTCTATGCACAGATCTGAAGGTGAAAACACAGAAAAAGTAAGCTCAAGTCTCTGCTACCCCCTGTATATGGCTGGAATCTGGGTCTAATCATCAAGCTCTTTCAGGAATGCTTCAAAAAGGTAGCTCCTAACACTCTGGACCTCGAGAACTACAACAGAGTACACAGATCATCTTTACTCTTGGCCTCACCTCTGTTTTTCTATTTTTTTCTCCTGCAGAAGAACTGAGACAAAAACAATTTCACAATCAGTATGTACATTTCCTTTGCTTAAGAGGTTGTTGTCTTTTCTATACCATTCTTCTACTATCAGGAGAAATTCCGGCAAGGTCCTCCTTCTTGGACACAGATTAGCTTGAATCTTTTAAGTCACTCTTCTGAACTTTCTGACTGCCTTGTTTGAGCATGTCCTGTTGCTAATCTGTTCCATTGCTGAGGCAGCAATCCAAAACACAGAAGGAGGTAAGTCCCCAGGGAGTCACCTACACACGTGTGCCCACACATGCACGTGTGCGTGCACACACACACACTCTCTCTCTCTCTCTCAGCCATCAGGGGCAGCTGTTTTCTAGAAGTGGCTTCATTTCCCGGTAGATCATTCACTGCCTCTGGGAGACCAATGAGAAGGGAAGGAAGCTACTAAAAATGTAAAAAAAGCCAAGCCCCCAGTTCTGTACTGACAGATCCAAAAAACATCTAAGATTTAAGTAGGAAACATCCTGTTGCATTCAGTTTGCCAAGTTAAACCCTGCTACAGAACACATGCAGAGAAGGAATGTAGCAGAAATAATCAGTTAGAAAAACAGAATGTATTATACAAAGAGCCAATTAACATGTATACGCACCAAACTACTTTTTTTTTTAATATTTTATCAATTTATTTGATAGACGGAGATCACAAGTAGGCAGAGGGGCAGGCAGAGAGAGAGGAGGAAGCGGGCTCCCTGCTGAGCAGAGAGCCCCATGCGGGGCTCGATCCCAGGACCCTGGGATCATGACCTGAGCTGAAGGCAGAGGCTTTAACCCACTGAGCCACCCAGGCGCCCCTGCACCAAACTACTCTTAACTGATCAGCGGTAGTAAGTAGAATTCAGGATCTCTGTTTGTGTGATGATGACTTCATTTAGTCAGTTAATTAAAAGAGATTTTGGACGGGGGGAGAAGTAAAGAAATCTACCTATGGGTTTGGAACTCTTCAGTTCCCTACTTTGCAACAGAAATTGGAAGAGAAGTCACAGAGCAGCACAATAATGTTTAATTACAGCTCTAGCTCTGCTAATTACCATTTGGTCACATATATAATCTACATTAAGCCACAGTGCATAATAAGCAGCTCTGTGATATTCATCTAATAACCTAGGTGGCTTCATGGGATTTCATAGTCTACTATTCACTGGAACAAACACAGCTTCATTTACCACTCTCCAGGAGAGGATAAAAATCAGAAGAGGACTTATGTTGCCACCTTTCCCATATACCTAGAACACAAGAGAAGGAATCGTCAGGAGACTGGAGCCAGCAGGGAAAATTGAGTAACAGGAACATAAAAAGTTAAGGTCATTAAATACCTTAATAGCTATAAAAACAATAAAATTCTTGGTCAGGCCAATTCTTGGTCTCTAAAATGCTAGAGTGCCACAGGGGGGCTCCCAGGACTCACTGAATGGGGAGATTAACAACAAAACAAAAGAAAAACCTAAAAAGAGACAAGAGAATTTAAAGATGGAAATATCTTAAATTTCCCCAGTGCGTGTCCTTTATCTTTTAATGATACTTCTTTTCAATTCACCTTTAGATATTACTCTTAATAGCACCTATTAGAGATCTAAGTGCTGATAGGCAGGTGATGCAGAAATGAGGACTGGAGAGAGTAAAGAAAGGCCAGAGCCATTAATCTCCCCTCAAGAAGTAATACACACTGACTTCAGCTGCCTCCCACATGAGAGGAACAGATGGAAGAAAAATTTAAGGCTGCAACATAATTTTGGGGGTAGAAAATGCAGCGAAGAAATATTGGGGACAGATATTTCCCTCTCCTCTTCACAAATAGGAGTCTGATACCTTCATCTTCATAGTCAAAAGGCAGAGAGGAAGATGTCTCTACTGATACCTTCAGTAACTCTAAGAAACTCCCTTTATCCAAGAATGAAAGATAATTGGAAATAATGGTTAGGTAAATGTTCAGATTTATACAGAATTCTTGGACAAGATTATATAGAATGTAGAATGTCATCAAGTATACTAAATATTATATTCTCTTTCTTTGATAATTCCAAAGGTCCTTCAAGATATTACAGTGACCCAGCTTCAGCAATACTAACAATAATATAGATTTCTGATTCATGGATAAACATGAAAGTACTCCCCTATAAAACTTGACTGTTTGCAAAATTTTTATTGTAGTTTTGTTTTTGAGAAAGAAAGCAAATGTGGGGGATGGGGAGAGGGAGAGAGAGCATCTTGAGCAGGCTCCACACCCAGCACAGAGCTCAATGTGGGGCTTGATCTCGCAACCTTGAGATCATGATCAAGTGGAAATCCAAAGTCCAATGTTTAAGCAACTGAGTCACCCAGGCGCCCCTATGGTGGGTTATTAAAAAGAATAACTGGTATTTATTCAAAATTATATTTATCAATTTTATTTTTTTTTAGAGAGAGAGAGAGAGAGAGTATTGAGGGGAGGAGGGGAGGGACAGAGGGAAAGAATCCCAAGCAGAATTCATGCTGAGCGGGGTGGGGGGCTGGGAGGGTGCTGGCAGGGGAGTGAGGGGCGCTCGAGCCCATGACTACAAGATCATGATCTGAGACAAAATCAAGGGTCAGACGCTCAACTGCTGAGCCACCGAGGCATTCCCCATTTATCAATTATGTTAATTGTCTCTAAAATTAAAATACAGGAAAAAAATCTTCAATTATTTGAACTGCCTCCTGTTGACTGAGATTTTGAAATAAAATAAATTTATTGTATTTTTTATTTTATTTTATTTTATTTTATTTTAAAGATTTTATTTATTTATTTGACAGAGAGATCACAAGCAGGCAGAGAGGCAGGCAGAGAGAGAGGAGGAAGCAGGCTCCCTGCTGAGCAGAGAGCCCGATGCGGGGCTCGATCCCAGGATTCTGAGAT